ACCCACACCCTCAAGATGTTTTGTGATTATTTTTTAGCTTTTTCCAATTTCGAGGTTTTACATTTTCGAGATTCATTTTTCGAGATTTTACATTTTCGATATTTTGAAGGTAATCCTAATTTTCACCTAACAGAATTTTGTTTCCGAAAATATATTAAAATTCTTTTAGATTGTCGTTAGAACGTTCTAAAACTGCCAAATCAGCTGTTGAATTAATTGGTGAATTAGTTGAAAAATACGGTCAAGGTGGAGTTTGTTTTAATGCTAGTGATAATTTTACTTTTGGTTATGATAATAGTTTTCTTGTTGTTGATAATGAAGAAGCATGGAGTGTTGAAACATGTAATCATGTTTGGGTTGCGAAACAAATCAAAGGTATACAAAAAAATAACAATACATTTTTGCCAGTTATTTTTATTAATAAAATTATTATTTATTTTAGAAGGATATTATAGCATGTCAAATGTATATTCTATTGAAGATGATTATAATCTTCAATCAAATAATTTAGAAAAGTTTGCTAAAGAAAATAATTTTTGGGATGGTAAAGATAAATTAAATTTTGCTCAAGCATTTCAAGGCAAATCACCATGTACCGATGCACGATTAAAAGGTGGTCGTAAATTACTTGAAAATTTAACTAAAAATGGAAATTTTTCAGTTTTTGATATGATATCAATTTTACGTGATGAAGAATCTGGTATTTGTGCATATGACAAAACTCGTGGTGTACGTACAACTAGTTCTCAAGTATCAATTCTAACAACAAATAAAAATTCATCGATAAACGCTTGTCATTTCATAACTGGAACACCAAATCCTAAACAATCATTATTTAAACCAATAATTTTTTCAAAAAATGTTACATTAGGTCCGCTAACAGTTTCAACACCAGAAGAAATCATCGCACAACGTACCCATCCATTGTATGCAACACATCAAAAAGTTAATTGGGAAAAATTTGATCGAAAACATTTCGATAATATCGAACATGAAGGAATCATGAAAATTGTTAGTAAACTTAAATCAACAGATGATAAAGATATTGATAATTTAGACACATTATTTCATGATGCTGCATCGACTGAAATCGAATTACTTCGAGGACATTCATCTTCTTAAATTTTCCATCTATTATTAAAATATTAATCTGGCAATGTATTTAGTTTAGATTTAATTTACAAATTTTTTTTTATCATATTTCCGCATAATATATGTTTATATAAGTTTGTTGCTTTGATGTATAAAATATTTTTTTAATTATAATATCTTAATTTCTGGCAATAAATCATTAACAATGAACATGTCTTTTATCGCTAATCTAGAAAATTCAATATGTTTGTTCATGCGTTTGTTTTTATGTAACTATAACCTGCATATGATCTGAGAACACGCCTGCTTAATGAGGTCAGCGTTTTCTTGAATTGCACTTTTGAAAAACATGACAAATTTTTTATATTGAAGTTTAGAAAATATACTATATTTGAAGTGTTCTTGTAATGTTGTGCTCATAAATGCATGAAGTGCACTTAATAAGGTCTGTCTAAAATTCGTAAGATTTCTTATAATGAAAAGTAGTCTGATAAATCATTTGATGTACCTTTAAATTTTTGTTCATTTTTTCATAAGGACAAACGAGATAAGTTTTAAAAATTCATGTTTTTACTTAGACAGACTAAGTCTAGGTTTTCATATTCATATTTATAATTCATATTCAAAAATGGTTTCTTTTATATTATTTTTTAAAAGCCACACGAGACATTGCACTCATAAAAGATAAAGGCGATAATTAATTTCTATTATAAGTTCATTAACTTTAGCAAATTAATTTGCATTATTGATCAATAGAGTATCATTATTTATTTAATATTCTTAGTATTGAACTGATATACATGGAGTAAAACCTGTCAAGTACATATTGTCGGATTTGTTTCTCTAGAGATTTGGGTATTTTGACAAATAGCTAATCATTAAATAATACTGACATTCAGACAAGCAGAAAACAGAGAAGATTAATTTAAAATGTACTTTTATTTAATATATATGCCTGTTCTTCTTTTATACTTTTCATAGGATAATAAAAAGAAAATTGTAAGTTTTAAAATATAGCCAATTTTTTATTTTCCAGGACATGGAATTATATTCGTTCCTACTTAAATCATCTAGGGTCGAACAAAACAATTGAACATATGGTTAGGTTTAATAAGTCATGAGTTTCAAAAATATTTTCATGATTCGCCCACCTTATTATACTATTTAATCTTCTATATTTACAAACGTCAATAGATCTCATAACATAGAACTATTATTAAAAATCAATAGTCACAGGTTTTTTTTTATACTAAACCAAACAGAAAACATTTATAAAAAACTTTATTAAGTATATTTATTTTTAATTAAAAAAAAATAATTAGATACCAAGTATCTTTTATCCTACATTTTCAATGAAAAGAATGTACTACTATAATTAAAGAAAACAATCAAGTTTCCACCTAGTTAATAGTTCTTGTCATTTCCGTATACATTTATTTATTAATTGAGTTTATATGGTTGACATACATTTTTGTTTAAAAATATTCTTATTCATCTAACCAGACCAATCGTTTTCATCAAGAATATACTGGAAAATCATGCTGACATTTAATATTAACAATGAATAGAAGAAGCTTTTAACATACTATATAAAGTTCTACTCGATAATACTTTTTTATTATTATTATTATTATTGAATATTAAGCATAGGTTCAAAAACATTTATTATGACTAAGATTCAATGCACGTATATTTATTGCAAACAAAGAGATTTTTCTTATTGAAATGAGATTATAAATTAATCTATTCATAAATGTATTACGAGTGTACGTTATAAGATTTTTTATGTAAAGATACTTTCAAGTCGACTTCTATTGTTTAATAAAAACCAATAAATTCTAATGATGTTAATAATAAATAGGGAAAAATATTCTCTCTATACTTTAAGTAAAAAAAACTACCTACTGCTTTCCATTAATACGTTATTTTTAAATAATGATTTATCAAGGCAAATGTATTTTCTATATAGAAGAAAACAATATCCGTTTCACGCTTTGTTTTATTTCATCATTTTCTCGTATTTATTTCCGTTGATATTTATGAGTATGAAATTGAAAGAGAGCGAAAAAAAAAATTATTTTTTATGTTTATTTTGTATTTGATGCATAGAGAATTTTAATCGAAGTACCATTAAAACGATTGTTTACTTTTCTTATGTACATAACAAAATCTTGCGAAAATATTTTTTTTGTTTTAAAGATTACATAGAGTGCACTTAAATGAAAAAAAATCGAAGGGGCGTCATTAGTAGATTTCTTTCATAATTCGAAAAAAACAGAACACAAAAAAAAACGTGATGTTTTGTCCAATATATAATCAAAACATTTGTTAGTTGAAGGAGAATTTTTATAAATACAAAATATTTCAGTCGTGAACTTTATACATTAAGTAATGTCGTCTTCAGCTACAGAAGTATGTGATGGAGAAAGTTTGGCCATTATCTTAGGTCTTTATTGGGTTGTTTATATGGTTATCAATGCTGTTGTATTTGCTGGTGCTATGTATGCTCTTCAACAATGTTTAGAGAAAAAGAATACACCTGGTGGTGCAGGCAAAGCTAGAGCCAGGAGCAGACCATCTTATAATGATTCTCGTGCAAGCAGTCAAATCGGTCTTATTCCAAAAGGTTAAATCAACGGACATAAATGGAATAATTTACTATATATTCTTTTTTCTTTATTGTACGATTGAATGTTTTGTGATTAATATTTAAGAAAAAAAAAGACCAAGTCACCGAACAACACATAGTTCTATTATATATCGTGCTGTAAATTTGACGAAATAATGATTAGAAAGGTTATGAAGCATTCAAAAGAAAAGCGGGGAGGGAAATAATATTCAGTTGTATGTTAATGAGGAAAATCTAAATCAACAAGCATTTTTTTTTCGGTACTTTTATCATCAATTGAGTTATAGTTAAGCATTTAGATAAATACTTTTCTCTGATTATAATGTTATTGAGTCCGTAGACATTCGGAAACAGTACTTGATTGCCATACTCTTTTACTTAAGAGGAAAATTGTTGTTATTTTATGATTCATCTCTTCTGGGTATTATAAAATATGTCAAAATGCCAAATAAACAATATACAAATAACATCAAACAAATAAATACTAGGTTAGGAAAGATTTCGTTTTTGTTTGTTGTTTATTAATTACATTATCTGTTTTCTATTAGAAATTAATAAATACATTTCAATGATCTTAAACAGATCTGACGTAAATCATACTATTTCTCTTTGTTATTCAGCTGACGTCACAAACAGACAATCATCAGAATTATTTCAAAAATAACAAAAAAAGAAGAAAGCAGGAAATAAATGACAGGTACGCAATTATTTGTTCATATTAAGTGAATATCTATATAGTTTATTGTTATTTTAATCAGACTTCGTGCAAATTAATCATTCAAAAATGAAGACGACAAACTTAAGATAGAAAAAAAAAATCTAGTATGCTCATCATGCAACTAATTACTTATCTTTCCTTTATAAAAAATAGAACACCATCACTTCATGAATATGAAAAAAAAAAATTGTCACTATTTCATTACTTTCTTCTTCTTCTTCTTCTTTTCTTCTTCGATACACTAATGCATATACCATTAAGTATACGGCGAGTTTCGGAAAATTTATTGTTCTTTATTCTTGTCAAAAACCGAGAGAGAGAGAGAGAGATTCTATTGGAAGAACGCACAATTCTTATCCTTTATTTCTCTTTCTCTCAGTTCAAAAGGTCTTTTCATTTCAAGTATGTAAGATATTTCTCTCTTCTTAATTGTCTGTAACATACATCTTATTCTCTTTTTTATCCAGATATGCGTAAGTAGTAATTGATGATATTGTTAAACAACTTACTCGCAAAAATTTTTACGATTCTTTTCATTATATTCGTTCTTAATTAAAGACTATTACCTATTTAGATTTGATTATGAACTAAAAATATGACAGAATTTAATACCGAAATAGCAAATAGTATTCTTACAAATATTATTAATGTTGCGTCAAGTACAAATGATAGTTTATATGCAGCATATGATTATCTTTCTGATAATAATGATCAACAAATTACTATTAATAATAGTAAGGCAATGTATTCGAATGGAAATGGTCCACAACATCTTGCAACAATTCTTCAACAATTATTTTCTAAAATGTCTGATGAAAAAACAATCTATAGAACTTCATCAAATTCAACTTTATCAGATTCATCATCATTATCAACATTTCCAACAGGATTATTACCATTTAATACATTATTATTATCATCAACAAATAATACAAATTCCTTTTATCTTCTTTCATTAATATCATTTTGGATCGTTTTAATTATCAATCCAATTGTGGTATGTATATGAAATAATTTAGAAAAAAATAAATTTTCTTTATTGTAGATTTCATTTGGTGTTACCGGTAATCTACTTGCGACATATATATTAATTCGATGTAATATTGCTAAATTACCTGTTTCATTTTATACAATTATGCTCAATATATCGGATACATTAAATTTATTAATACCAGTATTGATCTTTTGGTTAGATAATTGTATTAATCGAACACCTGAACGAGGATATTTTCGAGATAGATCAAATTTTCTTTGGTTAGTTGTGTATAGATGATTTTTTTTCTATCTAAATATACTATTTGTAATATTTAGTAAAGCATTAATGTGTCCCGATCAATTATTTGCTGCATTAAGTGCATGGTATATGTGTGCAA